AAGCCTTGTGGAAGTGGAGATTACTCATAAGTAATAGACTATGGATTCTTTCTGTGGTTGACCAAAACTTGTCCCCTGAGTTGTTGCTTCTTAAGGCCTAATGAAAAATTGGCTTTGAAGAAGAGAGTTGAGAAGATGGAAGGAACTGGATCCTCCAAGCCTCCCTACTGGCTTCCACAAATCCTAGCACATTTTTGTCCTTTTCCTTTGTATCTTTTAGATGTTTGTCTTTTAAATTCTAGTTTGGGTCACTACACTTAAATTTTGAATTAACAAGGAATCATTAACAAGTTAAACCAAAATAAATGTTTACTGGAAACATACGAGTGTACTTTTAAGAAGCAGATCTGAGAGATAATTTGCATTTTTTTTATTAAATGAAGCTTCAGGCAATGAAATTACAGACTCCCACCCAAAGGCACCTCTAGCTGCTACCTGCATTGAAAATGCATAGCAGGAATAAAATAATTGAATCAACATCCAGCCTTCTGAATATACTATTGTCAACCTGCTGCTAGTTAATTTAATTTAGAGTTTGGGACCAAAAAGTGCCCTATGAATTACTGCTTTATTGCTTTGTCCTTTAGGTGTCAAAATTGTGATTTTGTACCCTTTTGTAAAGAATTGAAATTATCAACATACATGCATAGAAAAATGTTGTTTGAATTAGCAGAATTAACATTCATTTTCATATTTCAACTTCTCATTCAGTTTGGATTGTGAACCAATGTATTTTGTAGTAATTTCATATAAATTGATGAACTGCATCCACTGAATCAAATAAGGAATGTGTAAGTACACTTTATGACTCCCTTCCTCCTCCTCCCTCCAGCAATAAATACGATATGATAAATCGTAATAAAGAAATGAAAGGGAAGACTGATTGAGGGTAACTTCCTTTGTTCGCAATCATGTGCAGAAGCACCTTAAATCTTATTGAAGTCAAAGGAATTTAGGCTCCAGTCAAACACAATTTTTCTGAATAGAGATGCATAGGAATGCACTGTTAAGCACCCTTACTTTATGCAGCACTGCGCAGCATGTATATGCAAAGTGTGTTTTATCTCAGTAAAATAATAATTGAAGCATTTTACCAAAAAGGGCAGAATTATCCAGTGAAACACATACACTATTAATTCTGAAACATCTATCTACCAGAAAACCAACAATGGCTGTCATGATGGTTTGTAAGTGCATTGTTTTCGACAGGCTAATATGTTAAAGATGGATCTTTGCAGTTAATGCACCTGGGCTGATGTCCTCTCTTTCCTCATAATGGTGTTGAAACTGTTGTCAAACCACAAGCTAGGGCATTTCAGTCTGCTTGCTGCGGCAGAATGGTCTCATTTCCTCTCCTCTTTCCAGACAAATGGAAGGTCAATAAAAAGGAAAGATGGAGTGGGGTTTGGGTTTGGAGGTCTTACAGTTAAGAAAGAGGCCACATTTGTTTATTGAATATCACATATTTCACCCAAAATGAGACTTGAATTGGCTTACGGCATGGTAGACTCTTATTGTTGTATTTATACCCAGGTTTTTCTCCCCAAAAAAGACTCAAAGTGGCTTGGCATAAAAGCTTTAGTATACAATTTAAAGTATATAAATATGCAAAAATTAAAATAGAATTAAATACAACTAGCAGTAAAAAAATCCATAGTTAAATCCATCAAAACAGTTAAATGTTTGTAGGTTAGGAGTGCAGAACCCCCACAAAAATGAGAACATGTGTGTGTGTGTGTGTGTGTGTGTGTGTGTGTGTGTGTGTGTGTGCGCGCGCGCATGAGAAAGAGAGAACACTTCTGTAGGAATCTTTGGGTACTCCAGGGTAACTGGAGGATTTGGCACCTAGGAAGACTTCTGTGTCAGATCTCCAACATGATAAAGTACTGGCATCATCTTCATCCCACCCCTTGTTTCTGAATAATCCCACATCTCCTCCATTTCATGTGGCAAAACACTGCTGCACAGGTAGACTGGTGGTGGGTCCCCAGTCAATTTAGCCCCATGTGAACACCAGCTATAGATGACTGTGCACAGTCATCTATAGCATCTCCTTGACCATCTCCTTGACCAGATACTCCATCGCACAGTAAACCTCATTTGAATGCATCAATCTGAGGGTAGGATACCAGGACAGAATAGGGGTTCTCTTAGTGTACTGGCCACCCCACTGCACTACAGTCTCCCTGTCTGAGCTAGCCAGGGTGATCTCGGGCCTGCCGTTGGAGTTCCAGCAGCTCAAAGAGCTGGGAGACTTCAACGTTCATGCAGAGACCACCCTGTTGGGAGTGGCTCATGACTTCATGGACACCAAGGCAGCCAAGGGGTGTCCCAAGTGGCATCTGGCTCTACCCATGAAGTCTATACACTGGACTTGGTTTTCTGTCAGGTAGGTGGAGATGTGGAAGAGCTGACCATCGTTCCATTGATATGGACCAACCATCATCTGGTCAAGTTTACACTTACTGCACCCTCTAACCTCTGCACCAATTGGAATGGTCCTCTCCAGGAGCCTTATAGATCCAGAAGGATTCCTGATGGCTCTTGGAGAATTTCCCATCACCTCGATAGGTGATCTTGTCAATGCTCTGGTCACTTTCTGGAATAAGGAGTTACTAGGGCAATAGACACGATTGGCTCCAGAACATCCCATTTCACATTGCAAAGCCAAATCAGCTTCTGGGTTCTACAAGGAGCTGGCACAATGACATGTGTGAAACGGAGACTAGAGCGCATGTGGTGTTCAACACACAGCAAATCAGATCGAACAGGTATGTTCCTATATAAGGGTGTATTCCATGGCAGTGGAGGCAACAAAGCAATCTTAGACTGGGCGATGGAACTGAAACAGCCTTAGTGGATGGTCTATTTAGGGAACTTGACAGGGGGAGTGTGTCCCTTTTGATTCTCTTGGACCTTAGTGGATGGTCTATTTAGGGAACTTGACAGGGGAAGTGTGTCCCTTTTGATTCTCTTGGACCTCTCAGCAGCTTTTGATACTGCAGCCATTGTCTTGGGGGGTCCCAGAGGGTTCACTACTGCCCTCCATGTAGTTTAACATCAACATGAAACTACTGGGAGAGATCATCCAGAGGTTTGGAGTACGCAGATAACATCCAACTCTACTACTCCTTTTCACCTGCTACTAAGGAGTCTGTTAAAGCCCTGTGAACAAATTGAAATTGAATCCAGACAAGACAGAGGTACTCGTGGTCAGTCATATGGCTGAACAGGGGATAGGATTACAGCCTGTGTTGAACGGGATTACACGCCACCTGAAGACACAGGTTTGCAGTCTTGGAACCCCAGGTCTTGGGAGCTTTTGCACAATTAAATCTTATGCACCAGCTGCGCCTGTACCTTGAGAAGCCAGATTTGGCCACAGTGGTCCACTCTCTCGTTACATCTCAAATAGACTACTGCAACACGTTTTATGTGGGGTTACCTTTGAAGACTGTTCAGAAGCATCAAGTAATCCAATGGATGACAGCCAGGTTGCTTACTGGAGTAGTGTACAGGGAACATACAACCTCTCTGTTGCATAAGCTCCACTGGTTGCCAGTCTGCTACCAAGCACCATTCAAAGTACTGACTTTAGCCTATAAATCCCTAAACGGTTGCAGTCCAGCTTCCCTGTCCGAACATATCTCCCTTTATGAACCAGTTCGAGCACTAAGATTGGCCAGGGAGGTCATGCTTTCAGTCCCACCGCCTTTGCAGGGGTGATTGGTGTGGATGAGAGACAGGGCCTTCTCAGTGGCTCCTTAGCGGTGGAACTCCCTTCCCAGTGATATTAGATTGGCCTTCTTCCTCCTGGTGATCAGAAAAAAAACTTAAAACCTGGCTATGCAAGCAGGCATTTGGTGAATAATAGTAAGACCGAAGCAGCTAAATGATAACTGTGGGCCTGGTGCAATGTCTAATAGGTTCTGTGTTCTTGTTATGATGTGTCTGAATAGTTTTAATGGTTTTAATTCATATTTATATGTTGTATACTGCTTTTATATGTATGTTTGGCATTGACTTTTTGCCATTTTATCATGCTGTACACTGCTTGGAGTCCCCCCTTGGGTGAGAAATGGTATAGAAATGCAATAAATAAATAAATAAGTTGATAGCAAATAACAATAAGCGAAGGCAACAACTACTGTGCACTCTTTGCAGTTCTCCTCACTCTTTCTGCTCTACGTGCAGGTTGCTAAGGTTACAAGAACAGAACTACAAAGGACAATGAATGAAAAAGGCTCAAATTACTACTAACACAATGTTTACACTTACAAAACAATAAGTGTACTTATGATTTCAGGATTCATGTTTACTGCCATTTGGCATGGGTTGTATCAACTATTTCCAGCAGGCATGACTACTGTTTTTAGAAGAGTCTTATAATCAAATTTTCAAAAATAATTGGTGCTGTGACCTTCAAATTGTTTGTTGGTCCTTATATTTCTAGCATGTGGTAAAAAAAGATTTGCTTTAGAAAACCATTCTCCTGCTTCCTGAGGATGCAGTTCTCCAAGAGGTCTTTCTGTTTACTTTCAGATGGCAGATTTGTTTTTATTTTTTTTAAAAAAAACATGCTTATTTGTACAAGCTTTCAGAAAAACGGGAAGTATCTAATTTTTCTAATGCTTCTATTTGTTTATATTGCTGTAATTGGCGTTTTGCAGATATTTAGAATTTCCTGTTTTGGAAATATGTAATTTGTAATGTTAGCTGTTCATAATTTTTAACTGTGTGATTTATATAAAGAGATGCTCTATCAGAGGAATAGTGGAATATAAATTAAAATAATATGAATTAATTTTTACACTTGGTATGAAGGCATTGCAGTAGCCCAGCCTTCTGTATCCTATCACTGAACAAATATGTGTAACTGTGCTAGTCACTAAACAGCTGAAGGCACCATGTTGTAGAAGGCTGTATTAACATATAAGTCATCTGATAAGCACTTGTTCTATTTTGCTGTTTAAAAATTCTGCTTTGTCTTTGTCTTCCAGCTGCCATTGTCATCCAGAAGTGGTGGTGTCATATGAACCCTTGTCTGGATGGAGAAGACTGTAAAGTGCTTCCAGATTACTCAGGTTGGTCGTGCAGCAGTGGAAACAAAGTCAAAACTACCAAGGCAAGTTTATCTTTTGCTCTAAACATCACAAGTCACTTTGACAAAATGATGGGATCATTGGGAGAAATCCTGATTAAATCAGGAATATGTTGGCTTTCATCTGTGTGTGAAAGAGGGGGGATTAACTGCTTTCCTGATATCATTTCCTGATCTTTCTTGTTTGTTTGTTCCATCGCTTCGTGATCTCATGGACCAGCCCACACCAGAGCTCCCTGTCAGCTGTGGCCACCTTCAGCTCCTTCAAGGTCAAGACAGTCACTTCAAGGTTACCATCCACCCATCTTGCCCTTGGTTGGCCCCTCTTCCTTTTTCCTTCCATTTCCCCCAATATCATTATCTTCTTCAAGCTTTCCTGTCTTCTCATGATGTGGCCAAAGTGCCTCATCTTTGCCTGTGATATCTTTCCCTCCAGTGAGCAATCAGGCTGATCTAAACCCTCCAAAACATCTGAAGGAGCCCCCGGTGGCGCAGTGGGTTAAAGCACTGTGCCGGCAGGACTGAAGACCGACAGGTCGCAGGTTCGAATCCAGGAAGAGGTGGATGACCTCCCTCTATTAGCTCCAGCTCCTCATGCGGGGGCATGAGAGAAACCTCCCACAAGGATGATAAAACATCAAAAAAAATTATCCAGGCTTCCCCTGGGCAACGTCCTTGCAGACGGCCAATTCTCTCACAAAAGGAGCGGTTGCTCCTGACACGACAAAAAAATAAATAAAAAATCTCAAGAACCTCAAATGTCAGCTTTTTTTCAAGGGGAAAATGTTGCAAGTTCATTTTTAGAAATTTGTGTATTTCTTCCCACAAGGTCATTAATTAAGGGAGAAACTCAGACCATGGAAAAGTAGCATGGGAAGAAAAACCTTAGCCTGCCAGCCTAGTAGTCCTGATTCAGTCTCCACTTTTAGCTTCAATATACGAAATTTGATCATAGCCCTTCCACCATCTTATATTGTTCCTGTGTTGTCCTGGTTCTCACAACTAGAAAGGGGGTGTTGACTAGTGTGAGTTTATAAAGAAACACTTCCTGTAATATGTACATCCCTGGGTCCTTAGGCCTTTTTAGGATGCCTTTTCCCAAATATCCTAAATGATGTTTGATGAACGTAAGCAAGAAAGAGGGCTTCTTGGTTGTGGCACCCTGATTATTTATTACTGTCAACATCAAAATCTGCCTAGTGGCAAAGATATTCTTCTCCCCCCTGACATTTTAGCTTCCTTTACATGTTTTAAATGTTATTCCAAGTCTTGCACTTAGTCTATTTATTGCACTTTTTCTTTGATCTTATTGACATTAGGAAATCAGTTGTTTATTGGCAGGCTAATGCTATGTGTAAAAACTACAATATTAGCAGCTATAGCATTCCTGTCAAGATGATAAGGAGGTGTTTATTTTTAGAAAATTGTTTCTTGTGGGATCAGTTGACCACCCAATGTCTAAGGGCCCTTCCACACAGCCATATAACCCAAAATACCAAGGCGGAAAATCCCACAATATCATCTTTGAACTGGGTTATCTGAGTCCACACTGCAATATATTCCAGTTCAAAGCAGATCATGTGTATTGAGCTGTGTGGAAGGGGCCTAAGACTTTGCTACTATCTCTACACTGCCCCGTGGTGACAGTCTGCTTGCTGTAATAGGGATGGATAAATTATTGGAGAATTCTCAGTTTAACTGAAGTACATCACCAAGGATTTCAGACTCCCATGTCTGAATAGCTCCCCAGAATATTACAAGAACAAAAGCTTGAGGGTGGAAACCAGAAATAGATTTTTTGTGTGAAAGGACTGCAAATTCAAGCCTAGGTAATGAAATCAGAAACGCACTAGGCTCAACTCTGTTTCTTGATTCTGGGGTCCCTTCCACACAGCTGAATAAAATCCCAGAATATCAGGACAGAAAATTTCACAATATCTGCTTGAACTGGGTTATCTGAGTCCACACTACCAAATATTCCAGTTCCAAGCAGATAATGTGGGATTTTATTCAGCTGTGTGGAAGGGTCCTAGGCTAATGTTTTGCACTTGACTCCAGCTGATCAACCACAGATTTTAAAGAAAAATGAAACAATATGAAGAAAGCCTGTAGCCTTGTAGTCTGTCCTCTTCTGCTCTATAGGGCCCATTGGCATCCATTTCTTTATACGAGATAAGGAAAAGAAAGTTACCAAAGAGTTGTTTTTATGCTGTATGGTACCATATAGTAGCTGAAGTGTTGTGTTAGTGATAGCAGAAGACAGAAAGTAGATGATGATGAGAGTAGTAGCATGAGCTTAGAATTAGTTCATTCGTTCATCTACACATTTTAAATATTTATATTTTCAGAACCAAGCTGTTACAGAGCAACCCATGTAAATACAATGATGTAAGATACATATGACACATTGAATGGGTGACTATGAGAAATGCTTATGTGAATTGCATGGAACCCTGTGTTTTCAAGGGCCAAATCCTTTGTCAATAAAAGAGAAGTACTACAAGTAGTTGCAATGGGCAAAGCATTAGCCATGGAGAAAAGGGAGTGAAGAAGGAGCAAGGGACCGTAAACAAACACACAGGCACTGCTTGTGAAAAAAGCACAAGTCTATGCACAGTGCTGATTGTGAAAAATTGGCAAAACAGCAGAGCAATCAGCCCCTTAGATTCCAATTGAGCCAAAACAGTCTCTTTTTATTACATGGGTGAATGTGGCTTCCAGTTCTGATTTTAGGCCTTTGCACACATTTCCAGTTTGAGATTAACTACTGTGCTGAATGAGCACCCAGGAGTGCCCTAAACTGGCTTTGCTTCATTAAAGTAACAAGCTATTAACTCCCATCTTCAAAGGAGAGATCCCCAAGTGTGCAATCCACGGTCCACAGAAGTCTGTAGCAAAGCTCACTTTGATCTTAATGGGTTAGCATTGCACCCAAAGGTGCTGCAAGTATCTTTAATTTGATAAGATGCCTGTGATGGGGCTTTCCCAATTTTTCTTGTTATTTTGAGAGTATACTTTTTGTAGGCAGAGAAAAACAAAAAGTGGAGAATATCCAGGTAATGCCCATAAGCCACCTTTTGTATTGAAAATTTACCTACTTGTCCTCTCTTTGTGTTCAGCTGTATTTGGCTTCTTTTCTTCACAGGTAAACCTCATGGTGAGTTGGGAAATATAAATTTTACCTGTCCAACTTCCTGAAAGTTCAACCATTTCATCTGGCACTTCCAGAAGTAAAAATGCAATTCCCTGAGTTGTCATGAAACAGTAGGATGGGTTTTATTATTATCATCATCATTCAACTGGGGAATAATTCTAGATTTGGGCAAAGCTGCTGCTGTTGCCATTTCAAGACTAGGTGCTTGGAGTGATATAAAACTTATTTTACTTCTGTGTATAAATAAAACTTCCATAACAGTAAACATATTTACATCACAGACTTTCAGAGACAGAGACCATTCCTTAGGAATTATAAAGACTGATTCTTCCCAGACAGAAAAACAGTATCTAGTCAATAACTTCTGTGTATAATGTGATGGAAACAATTGTGCAATTCATCTGATATGTACTGCTTCACCGGAATTTGTTGTTAAAATTATTGGAGGATTTAGAAGCAAAGAAGGTAAAAAGAGAAGCTACAAGGTGGTGGAGGAGGAAAAAACTGGAGTGGAAAGGTAGGATAAAAAAGAACTAGATTTGTTAGACTCGGGGAGAGCTCGGGACAAGAGGTAGATGTAAAGTTGCATCCCCTGTTTAGGATCATTTGAAAAGGAGTCTGAAAATAAAACTTCCAATAACATTATGTCTTTATGTAAATAAAGTGGTCATGCGTCAAATATATGGAATGGTAGACTGATGAGAGAAGGCCTCTCTTAATAATCTCAAAGCCCAAGCTAACTCATAGCAAAGGTGGACCTTGGATCCAAAATCTGCAAACCCTTACGTTCTTACATATATCTGTAAGCTAGACTTTTACTGCTACTGTTGCTTGGTAAGTGATGATTGCAATCTAGCATTCAAATATCCTTGTCAGCTGAAATCAATAGGATTTAAGTGTGAATAACTGTATGCTAGATTGTGGCTAATGCCTCTGTGGAATTCAGCTTCAACCACTGCACGTCCTTTAAATCTCACAGCAGTATGGATTAGATGACTGTTAATAGCTTGTCACCATGGGCTGTGTTCAATAAAGCATTGTGCTGGTATGAGAAAGAGATATACGCAGGAGATTAAAAAGGATTCATCGCAGCAAATTGTTGAGAATAGCTAGCTTTATGAAGGCAGTATGGATTCCAGTGATAACAGAGCAGTAAACTAAGAGCAAAATTCCCTGCTTTCAACAACACATTTTGATGTGTTCTTATAGCATTAGTAATGTTTGCTTATGTGAAAATGTTTAGTGACTAGGTTAAAAATGGTGAGGTTGAAAATCAGATTTATCTATTGACCAAGGGATTGTCTATACTAATAACAAAAACCATATTCACTCCAGATCATGCACTGGCAGTATTGAGATATATAATAAATATTTAGGTAAGAATCTTGAGATTTTTTTCCCTCCCCGAACCAACATTGCTCACACAATGTTGGAGGACACTCTGGTTTGAAGGAAATTCTGGAATATCCATAGGCTTTGTGGTCATCTAGGCAGATGGATGGTGTCCATTTCATCCTTATTGCAGATATACTGGGTCATCTGCTCATTGTGAATACCTGGCCATTGTGGATATCTCCTCTGAGGTCAGAATAGGCATCCATGTGACCAGCAAAAAGGAGGACGTATCTCCTTGTTGATCACACAGATGCTCCATTATGACTTTGGCAGATGCAACAGGTGATGGCCAAGTGCTCACAGGCAGTCCTGTAACCAGAAAGGAGTTCTGGTAGCAACATTAGAAGATGGGCCAGTTGGACAATGCAGCATGGCTGGATTGGTTAGATACCAATGTGACACTGCTGAGAATGTTGCCTTGTGGCCAACATTGCAAATTATCCAGGGCCAAACATCACAAATTATCTAGGGCCCTCAGACTGACCCCAGTTGAAACAATTGGTATAGATGTATCCCCAGACAGGTTTTGCAGTCAAAAGGCTTTGGAATCACAGTTATAGATGTAACAGTCATCACTCTTAAGGGTTGTCACAAAAGGTTCCTCAAATGTAACTAGGTTTTCACAAACTAGTTCGGAACTATTGGTGACATTGTCCTTTCCATCCCTTTTAGCCATGAGATTTCATTGCCTTTTTCAAAAAAATATAAACTGTTTTGCCTGTGCTGAAATGGATTGGGGAAAGTCATTTAAGTAAAGGAGGAAAAAAAGGAAGAGAGAAAGGAACAAATAAATAATACTTGTATAATGTTCCTTTTGCACATTGTTAATAGCTGCAATAATGTTGAGCAAGATGAATATAGGCACACAAATAAACACTTTTTGGACTCATTATAATGCTAAATAAAAATTAATGGAACACACTTTATTGTTTATCTTTGCTGAGCACAACTAATTAACAGAGCTATTTTAAAGTGTGCATATATTTTTCGCAGAAACATAAAGGCCAGGTTTTTCATCTACTTACTTAGGCGGGTGGGGGAAGAAAAGCTCTCCAACTTTCTTCCATGTTATCTGCTTTGCCTGAACTTAGGCTCATTTTTTTTCTATCATTCTGAAGATTCCTATCTGTCCTTCAGCTTTTGATAAGTTGCCTATATTTACTTGCAAAGTGATATCTTCAATCCAGTTGCTGCTATTTTGCTATTCTTGTTCCTGTGAAAGCGATCAAGATAAAAGAAAAAAAAGTCTCCTTTGAAACTTATTAAGTTACCTTGCTTCACTTAGTTTTTTGCATTGTGATATCAGAGATGGAGAACCACTAGATATTGTTGAACTGAAACTCCCATAATGCATCACAATATCAGAGAATTCTAAAGGTGAAAGTGGCTGTCGGGGCCATCTAACCCAACTCCTCCAGAGCCCATGGAAGCCAGACTGCTCACTTCGCTATGAACAATGTGTAGTCAGGGTACTTGGATATTTGAGAACATTAAGAGCTCTGGCTCCTTGACTTTCATCGTTATTAAAATAAAGCAGGTTGAAGCTATTGGACTTCAGAGGAAGTGTGTCATGCATAGAGAGGATGAGAAGATGATGGTTGAAGGGCCAGCATTGGGGATGGAGCCCAGCAGGGCACAGCAGCTCCCTCAGCCAAGCTCAGAAGTAGAACCCATGGAAGTAGCTACACCTTTCCAGACTGCAGACCAAGGGTAAACAAGCTTCTCTGAGGAAGGACTAAGTGTCCAGCTTTCATTGACCTGTGAAGAGTGAAGGCTCAACTTCACAGGTCCTCAAGATTAGCAGAGAAACTAGCCAGCAATATGAAAGACCTGAGTACTTATAGCAGTGGTTCTCAACCTATGGGTCCCCAGATGTTTGGGACTTCAAGTACCAGAAATCCTAACATCTTGAAAACTAGCTGGAATTTCTGGGAATTGTAGGCCAAAACACCTGTGGACCCACAGGTTGAGAACCACTAACATAGCATTTAAGAATCTCAAGTGTGGTACCTTGTTGCTAGCTGCAACATAAGTTCTAGAAGCTTTGACCTTGGACTCTTGCTATCTTGTGTTCCCAAATTCTGTACTTATGGAATGGACGTGCAGCTTCTCTGTTGTGTTACTCTGCTGTTGTATGCCTTTTGTTTGAACAAATCAGTTTGAACTCAGACTGTTGGTTAACTCCCTGATGGTTATTGGGGTTGAGGCTTTTGACAAAGTGAATACTTCCTTGAAGAATAGTTTGATCCCTCCTACCTTTAAAAACAGTAGTGGCACAGTTTTTGTTAAAGGAACCCATGGTAGAGTTTATGAATTTGGGACTTTATTGTACAAAGCCGCTATTCCGTTGCAGTCACATTAGCATTGATAGCAGATACATACCAGATTGAGCACCTTCAAGATCCCACCTCTCTTCTTTTGTGCAGTTTATTTATTCATTTATTTACATTATTTCTATCCCGCCCATATCAGCCCGAAGGCGACTCAGTTGTGCTGATTCAGCCATTTGTGGTGCCATGATTGTACTTCCACATACCCGTGTAAC